ACTCCAAATAATCTTGCTGCTCCCTCCTTAGACAGTAAGCCAAGACCGTTTTCCTTCCTTGAACACCTACAGCTTGGACAGACTGGAGGTTTCACTATACCCAAGATGTCAGGAGGTAGGCCACCTTTTGCAAGAATGAAGACTTCTCCCACTCTCCTTGCTGAAGTAGGCCACTGCACTAGTGTTATTTGTCCTAAGCAGGATGCAAGAGTTATTCATCCAGTGATTTTCCTTGAGCCCCAGTCAATTTTTACTGTTTCTTTCCTGCTCTGCCAAAGGAACTTCCCACACAACTGGCCACCTCAGGTTGTAAGCCACTCTCCTATGGAGTAGCCGTGACTGTCATCTGCTAGTCTGGATATGTCAGAAATGCTTGGACTGGAATAACAATTATGTTCTTTTCTGTGAAGCCTGGCATGTGCCAAGGGCATTTTTTATTCATCTGAGGAGTATGCCGTTACTCCTTCCATCAGTTCCCCAAATATTTTGATGACATTAACATCATTTTATCCTGTACTGTGTTCCAGTCATGCAGCCACAAAGAACAGTGAGTAACTGTACTATAGGCTATGATCCTTTTGCGACCCCTGTGTGTTCAAGGAAGAATAAAAGAAAATGGGGGTGGGGGGATGTTGACATGGAGATCTGAGAGGTACTGAACTGTGGCATCTCCCATACTTAAAAGATTCAATTCAGACAGACCACTTATCCATGTAAAACCACTCTGACAAAGCATGTTGATGTAACAGAAGCTCTCAAGGATAATGAGGAAGACTCAAAGTTTCTGGGTAATTCAGTGGTCACTGGGCGAGCCTGACATTGCACTAGCATGTTCCCAATCCATTGTCCAAAAAAGCTAGCAGCAGTTGAACTGCTGTTACATTCAGTTCCAAAGACAAAATTCCTTATTACAGCATAGAAGCAGAAGGTCTTTGACATTGCAGGTAGGGCTGCTCAACCAATACGACAGGTGCTAAGGCTTGCAGATCTACTTCTAGACTAGAGGAGCTCTGTGAGGACACCTGCCTTCAAATGAATGCCAAGCTGGAAAGAGAGAGAGAGAAAAAAAATACCCAGAAAAGTATAAAGGGAGAAAATAAACGAAGAATCATTACACTACCTACTGGGGAAAAAGAAGGAAAAGAAAGAATGTTTGTAAGAGTCTCTCTCAGTGTAGAAGAGGAACAAACAACTCCTGTCCTCCACGTATACAGAGAAAACAGATTAAGCATGATTAATTCAGCAAATATGCCAGCAGGTGGAGCTTTATGTTAAAAGGAAGACAAGACTGAGAAAGAAGACATGAAATTAGGCACTCTGCCTTCATTCCATTATGCTGGATAGAAATACCCATGAAATACAATTTCTTTCCAGAGCAGTGGAAAAACTGCATCAGGCTATGTTTACCAGTTATTCTCAAGACTTTAGTACAGACTGACAGACATGTTAAAAATAATAAAATATTAGAAGTAGAAACACCTAATGAAATATATTCTCTTGCCTGAGCCAGATTTTTAAATCTTACAAAACTATGATTATTATTCTTATTATTTAAAAATAACCCTCTGTTGGTACTCTGAATCTACTTTATTTACATATAAATAATTGAACACCATTGTGAAGTACCTTCAGCTCCAGAATACAAGATCTTCAGTATAAGAAACAGCAAAATGCGAATCTGGCTTCGTGCAACTGGAAGATTAGCTGCAAAACAAAAGTGATGGTTATTAAAGAGCAAAACCCAAGCTTACAATTTTTCTTTTACATTACTGTATCATTAGAAAATACTTCCATATTCATAGAACTTAAATCAAAATAAAGACAAAACACTGAAATAGGAGAGGACAAGGGAAGCAAGAGAAGGTTATCATGAAAATACAAAGAAAAAGAAGGGGGGTAAAGGACAATAAGCTAAGGAACAGCGAGAGAAAAGAGGGTGGGAAGTCAGGTCAAGGGTTTAGAACAGCAAAAAAGGAAGGTGAAACTTTCAATTCAGAAGGAAGGAAGAAACGGGAAAGAAACTGATAAAGAGAAGACAGAAGATTTCCTTCCAAAGACAGTATAGCTTCTCAAGTATTCTTTAAGAAGTTTAGTAGAAAGCCTTTGAAAGAGTCTAGAAAGTTCACTTATGTTGCTGGTATTCATTCAACATTTTCTCATCTCAGCCTCAAGATCTCAGAGGAAAAATATTTCAGTTACTCAAGAAATTAGCTAAAATTCACTATTATATCTATCTATTGGCATTATACTGCTAGGATCATCACATTTAAAAAAAAAAAAAGTCACACACACAACACTGACAAATCAAAGTGTTTCTGGTGAAAGCACCAGCTGCAGTATGGGAGAAAATAAAAGAAAGACTGTGTATGCTACGGTAACAGGGTCCTGCTCCTGGGGTGACTGTGATGCCCCTGGAGCCCCCTCAGCCCTCATCAACTTTGCTCTCTTTTGCTGTCTCTGGGCAGTCTCCCCGTCTCACTTACCATACTTTGATGTTGTTATGATTTAGAAAAACGGAAACTGCCTCAGGATTTCCCCCTGAGATCTCACACTCTGCTACACAGGTATCACCATTCATTGCCTTAACAACTAATTATGTGGGCTCCTTCCACCCCAGTACCTCTGCCCATACCTCATAGGGTCACAAATCCAGATCAAATTATCACCGCCCCTACAAACTCTTGGCTCTGTTCATCCTTACAGCAGCCTCTCTCTAAGCTATGGGCAATCTGGTCCCCTTAGTCTCCAGCTGTGGCCTTCCTGGCCTTTGGTCCTTCTCCTTAGAGCCTAGCTCCTCTCCTAGGCCAGTTGGGACCCCTGGGGTCTCCAGCTCTGCCAGTCTCTGACTATGGCCCTTCTTGGCTTTTGGCCCTTCCAGATCCCTGGCCACACTTTTAGGCCAGTGAGACCTCTCAGCTCTCTGTTCTCTGAGGCAGCTGGGACCTTCTTACCTCCCCTTAGTCCCTTCCACAAACCTTCCATTGTGCTTACCCCAACTCCGATATTACTCAGGAGCCCTGCTGCCCAGGTGCTCCTCTCTCCACAGCTGTCAGGGATAGATTGCCTACCCAGCTCCAGCTCTGAGCTGGTATCCCAATAGCCCAGTCCCTGTAAGTCATGCAACTCCTAACTGCCCCCCCGCCCCCGCACACCTGCAGGATGCTTCTCAGACAGCCTGCCTTCTCTTAAAGTAGCAGTAGCACCAAGCCTCCTGCTATGCTACCTACTGGGGAAAAAAAATCAGATTGCAATGACCATTTGAATTTTGGCATTTCCTGAAGCAATAGTCAAAGAAAAACCCATTGGAAAGAGTCAGGATCTCAAAAACAATGAAAGTGGTTTTTGCTTTCTTGAAGGATGGATCAGCATTCTCAATCAAAGAAAATGAAGACTCTTTCTTTCTTGTAATTAGGATTCAGACTGAAAAAAAATGAGACTTGAAAACAAACGTACCATTTTAAAATGGTACAAGGGGAATTAATCTACCAATACATTAGTAAACCACAAAATACATCAGCACTCATAAAAAAAATTAGCCTAAAATTCTTCTTGCAAGTCTAATTTTGAATATTCAAAAAGCTTCTGAACATCCTCAATTTCCTTGAGGAACAGATATAATCTATTCCAGAGGTCTCTACCAATCGCCTGTGTTAGTTTTATGAGGCCCATTAAGGTGATGTCTCATAATGTTAGTTACAGATTTCCATCTTAATGCCCGTCTGCTTTCCAACCATGGTACAACACACTACCACACAAGAGACAGTAATACTTTACAATACAGTCCTGCTCTTATCTACAAGAGTTCTGTTCCTCAGCTGATCTACATGTAACAGTAGGCATAATGGTATGGTACGGTACCTGTAATGGAAAGGTGTTCAGCCTCTTTCTGTATTCAGAGTTGGAAAAAAACCCCTCCAGAATTGATAGCAACCTATTATAAAAATGGAGGCCAGGCCTATGCTGCAACATTTTGCTAGCACAACTATGTTGTCCCAGGATATGGAAAAACATCACATACACCTAAAGTGAACAAACCCTCGTGATTTAGACACAATAATGCCAACAGAAAAATGCCTCTAGCACAGGGGTGGGCAATTATTTGGGCCTCCGAGCCATTCTTCTACCCCAAGGAGGGGCTGGAGCTGCTGCTCAGCTTCGGTGGCAGCCTAGGCATGGCAGCAGCAAAACTGCGGCAGGGCAGAAGCTGCTGCTGGACACTGGGGAGAAAAAGCAGGACCTGGCAGCAGCTACAGCTGCCTCCCCCTGCCAGGGCCTTCTCGGTGCAGCCAGAGCCCATGCCAGTGTTCTGCTTCCAGCCACCATCTGTCTCCAGGCTGCTCCCACACCTGGCCAAGAGAAGCCATGGGATAGCCCCAGTGTGGGCTCTGGGCAGCAACAGTGAGAAGGCCCTGGCAGCAGCAAGGGGGAGGTGGCTGCAGCCACTGCCAGGTCCTGCTTTTTCCTGGTACCCAGCAGCAGCCCTGGGCTGTGCACACTGACTCAACCGCAACCCTGGCCCCAGTAAGGGATTGGGGTCCCTGCAGCACCCACTCTGGACCCACCCACCATGAGCAGCAGCAGCAGCCAAACAGAAACTGATGCTGGGCACAAGAAAAAAAGTGGGATCCTGCAGCAGGTGTGGCCACCTCCCCCTCATCACTATTGGGCCCTTCTCACTGCAGTCTCTCAGAGCCTATGCCAGGGCGGACCTGATGATCCACCCTGCTGCTGCCACCACCACCAGCACTGCTTCTGGGCTGCCCAGGGCTCCGGCACCTGGTGGGCAGTGGTGGCAGTGGGGAGGAGACACAGGGGAGCCTTGGTACAGGCTCTGGGCACCAAGAAGGGCCTGGCAGCAGCAAGTGAGACGCAGCTGCACCTGCACCTGTTCCCAGATCCTGCTTTTTTCCTGCACCCAGCAGCAGCTTCTGCCTGCCAGCTGCTGCTTATCATAGCCGAGGCATGCAGGTCCATAGCAGGTGCTGTAAGGACCCCAATCCTCCACACAGGGTGAGCCAGGGCTGTGCATTCAGCCCAGGTCCCCACTGCACAGGTCCTGGCCAGCCTCTGTGGGGCTGGTGATGGCACCCAGAAGGAGCCACACCTGCCAAGGCTGCTGGGAAATGGGAGTCCGGCTGCGGAGCCACCCCAGCCCTGTTGTGCATCAAGGGGCAGCAGGCTGTGCCATGGGCCAACAGTGCCTGGCCCAGGAGGGACCAAGGGACCTGCCACAAGCCAGACAGAGTCCTTCTGGTCCACAGGCCATGTTTTGCCCACACTGCTCTAGTGGCTTACCTCACTTTTCCAAGTGGTCCAAGTTCTCTCTCTCATTAGAAAAATTCTCTCTTTTGGCATATGCCACATCGGCACTGGAGGTCTGCCAGTGTAGCTATAGTTACAGAGGATATGCAGTATAGATAGACACCCAATCCAACAAGACAAGACCCCCAGGAAAAACAAAAAAAACAGCAGAATCAGAAAAAGGGACTACCGTGAGTCAGAATTTTTTAAAGAAGAAATGAAATCAAGAACAAAAAAGTTCAGTGACTTTGACTTAAGGAAAGAAAAAGTTCAAGGCAAAAGTAAATTCCACTTGGCTTAGAATCTCTTCCACTTCCCTCTTTCATTTTCTACTTGATGAGCTTCCTAGTACAGATTAGCTTATCCACAGCACAAAGAGCAAGGAAGCAGAAAAGAAAATGGTCCTAAGTGAAGATTATAGAAAACATTGTTGGAAAGGTAGATAGATAGATACACCACCAAAATCCAGTACAGGAAATATTAGCGAATCACATAGGTATGGGAGGGAAGGATAGCCAATGATTTGATAACCTACATTTTATTGTTTGTTTTTTAATTGCAACCGCTCCAGTTTTCCTAGGTTTATTCAAGCCTTCAAATTGAACAAGGCAGAGCCTCAGACAGATGTGTAGGGCAATAATGTGGTAGTAAAAATTTACAAGCATGATTCATTTTAGGGTTGAAATTTTTAGATGGAAAAATTTTGTGTGTTTTAGAATAAATGGTGCAGAGATCTTGTTAGGAGGCATAAAAATGTGTTCTGTCAGTTTTCTCTCAGAGAGACTTGAGCAAGATCTTCAGGATTTTCACATCTCTATTTGCAATAATATTTTAGTGTTTAAAGCCTTTACTTCAGAATACCTTTTATTAAGAGGAAAGTGACATTAAGAAAAAACACATAATGTTGAATTTTGTTGTTGTTGGAACAGTATTTTCCCCTGCTACTTGTCCTGGGGTAGTTGGAAAAGAGACAAAGGGCATGTCTACATGTGCACTTTAATGCACATTAGCCTATTTTAGTACACATTAAAACATCACAAAAACCATACTGTTTATTTAATACATATTAAAATAGCCTAATATGCCTTTTTCTAGTACCTCATAATGGAGGTACTAAATTTAATGTGCATTGCCTAATGCACATTAATGAACATGTAGATGCACCATGAAAGTGCCATTTATATATGGCTAATATAGAATATAGTAAAATGAGTTATAGTTGGTTGAATAGCAGAGAGCTCATTTGTGAATAAGAGAACTGACTTAGGTTGCTGTGACTTGCAGTATCACATCATATAGGGTGCATCTACATGAGACGCTTTACTGCACA